TGGGCCCAGGGCTGTTCATGCTCTGAAAGGGGTGACACCTGCCTGAGCCAGGCTCTCAACCTGTCCCCTGAAAATGACTCTTGCACCTCCACTGTGGTCCCTGTCCTGCTTCTTAATAACCTCACATTCTGTGTGTGGGCCGTGTCCTGGGCTTCTCTCCCTTTCATGTTGGAGAAGCTCTCCGAATACGCTTGGGGTCTTCTGTCACCTGGCATGAGCCATGGCATGTCCCCTTAACTAGTACCTGAGCTGGCTGATAGCAGCGACTCCCAGGGACAGCCCTGAGGCAAATTCTCTCTTCACTCCTGTCTCAGGGAGGAAACTTGAGACACTGAGCCATGTGGGACCCACCTCTGACCCCACACAGAGCCGCAGTTTGGCCCCAGGTCCCATGGCCACAGCACACGGAAGTAGAAGGCAGCCAGGACAAAAGCCACCCAGCAGCGCCCTGGGTCTGCTTTCCTTTGGGATGCAGGTGCGTGAGTGTGGTGTTCTCAGTCCCTGAGCTCCATGACATGACTGCCACCTGTAAGCACACGTTTGGAAGGTGCAGCCTGGAGACAGCAGCCACCGCTTGTGTCCTCCAAGGGGTCCATGCACCATTCTGCCTGTCCCTGTTCGGGAGATGGCAGGGAGAATTCAGTCCCAACTGCTCCATCCATCCCTGCCACAGTGATTCCCTTCTGTGTACACAGTCAAACTCAAATCCCTGCCCTGACAGAAGCGCTGCCTGTCCCCAGCACTAGGAGATGGCTGCCCACACAGGGATTCAGCAAACAGGTGCTGCAGGGAAGGACACCTGGGAGGCCACCAGGAGCTTTGTCTGGACTGTCCTGAGAGTCCCCTCTTCTGAGGCCTCTGGGGTACTATCACCTACAGCAGCCCTGGTCCCAGGATTTCCCCTCTGAGCACTTTCCGGGCCCAAGTCCAGAGACAGTGGGCTGGCAGGAGAGGGACGAAGTCAGCAGCATGGACAAGAGGGACCGGGTGGGTGGTGGGAGGGGTTGCCAGTGAAGGTGGGCTTTTTGTTTTGTTTTGTTTTGGGTATTGGGGATCAAACTCAGGACCTCACATTTGCCAGGCAGGCGCAGTGCCGCTGAGCTACATCCCCAGCCCCCCTTTTTTCCCCCTTCCCACTTTCTTTTTCAAAGTCCTTTTTCAGGGTGGCCCTGGATTTTCCGGTCACCTTCCACGTACACAGCTGCCTGAGTCAAGTATGCTCAGGGCATGGATGGAAATGGGCCTGAAGCTCTGCGGTACACATTAAGGGCTGGTGGCCCATTGTGGCAATAGAATGAAGGGACAAAACCATGTAATCATCGCAATTGTCACAGAAAAAGCCATTGACAAAATTCAACAAGTGTCTTGCACTATAAAAACACCCAACAAGCCCCACAGTCACAGGGGGAGGCCGGTGCCTGTCCCCCAGTCAGCAGCAGGGCCTGGCATCCCAGTGCGCCTGTCCATACCACCCTGCACCCATATCAAGTTCATCCAGAGAGGGTGCAGCTGCGTGGCAAGGGTGAAAGAAACTGATCCTCCTCATTAGTGTCATGAGGGGAGTGCACAGACACGCTAGAAAGAAAGGTCATGGAAGACTGCAGTGCACAGGGTCCACACACAGGAAGCAACCAAGGCACTGGGGTACAGCCCCGGTGTGCAAGGTCCTGGACCCACCCCAGAGCCACAGGAACGGACCACAGCAGAACATTTTCCTCCCGTACAGTGGCCATGAGGAAGCCCAAACCAAAATGACGGGAACAGTTTCCTTGAGGTAGGCATTGGAAAGAATCCAATACCGGAAGAAGTTTAACAAAAGAAGGGCAAGATAAGGTTGAAAGAAATTCCAAATGAACAGAAAAATGCCCTGTGTTTGTGGGCAATCCCATAAATTCAGTGCAATCTCAGTCAGTCCCATCTGGCTCATCTTCAGAAACTCACAAGCTGGTCCCCAAATTCACAAGGACCCTGGGGATGCAGCATAGCCCACACCACCTTGAAGAAGCCACAGGGTTGAATCTCCCTGATTTGCAAACTTCGGCTGGGCTCTGGCCAGTGACGCCGAGACAGACAGCTTTCCACAGCAGCTGTGCAAATGGCCACCAGGCCATCAGCACAGGGAAGATGCTGCCACAATGAGGGTTGGGGCAGAAGGGCAAAAGATAAACCCAGCTGAAGGGAAGAAAAGCTACAATGAGATGCCACCTCACACCCAGCTGGATGGCCCTAAGGGATGAGCGGAGACTAGGGAGTGTGCAATGTCCTTAAGCTGGTGGGGAAACCCGAATCCTCTTGCCTTGCCTTGCCTCGCCTCGCCTTGCCGGTGGGGTGTGAGGAGGTGCAGTGCTATGGGCTACAACTCTCCTTTTCCATTTTCGAAAGCACTGAGAGTAGGTCCTCAGTAGTGTTGTTCCCAACAGCCCACCGGCTGCTGAGTGGGGGCAGACTATGTGGTCTGTCACACAATGGAGCATTTGGAACAAGAATTTCACCCTGATCCATGCTATGCCGTGGACTCACCTCAAGCACATTAGACATGAAAGTTGCCACACACAAACGGTCCTATGGTGTGGGTTCTCTTCTACAACACACCTGAGATGGTCAAAGCCATGGAGACAGAAAGGAGATTCGTGGTTGCCAGAGACTGGAAAGTTTTTTTTGGTGGGGGGAACGAGGCAGAGTCAGCCCTGTGAGTATGGAGTTTCCGTCAAAGGTGACCCAAATGGGGTGGCATGAGTGGCGATGGTCACGCGACTGTGTAGTGTACTAGGAAGCTCTGGACAGGACAGTTTGAAGAGACATACTGTATGGGATGCGATTTGTGTGCCAATAAACTGCACTTTTTGTTGTTGTGTTTTGACACAGGGTCTCACTATGTAGTCCAGGCCATCCTTGAACTCACTATGTAGCCCAAGCTGGCCTGGAGCTCGTGGTGATCCTCCTACCCCAGCCCCCGCACCCCACCTAGCAAAGCTGTGGACACAGACCACCTGGATCTAGGAAGAGACCAAAGGGAGCCCTGGCATGAGGAAGTTACAGGAGACCAAGGGGCTGCTAGAGCCCTTGCTTGGCTTGTGTGAGGCCCGGGGTTCCAGCTCAGGACCGGAAAAAATAAAATTGCAGTTGCAGGAGTAGATTTGTGTTTTCTAAAAATCAGTCCCTAGGTTGCACTGGGACAAGTCCCGAAGCCATGAGTGGACAAGGACAAGGGCTCTTGGGAGGGACAGGGAGAGCACATGTGAGGGACTCCAGGAGGCTGGGGTGGCCCCTTGGGTAGCAGCAGCAGAGGCCAGTCCAGCCTCGCAGCCCTCTCAGAAGCTTGGGCACAGGAGGACTATGGCTTACTCTGCTTACCATTGTTTTTGCTCTACCCTTTGTTTTTCCCAATCTTACTTTTTTTTTTTTTTTTTTTTTTTTTTTTT